CCCCGCGCTCAGCATGCTGGCAGACGTGCTGCTGGAGCAGGCGGCGCTGCTGGAGGAGGCGGCGGCGGCAGCGGCGGCGGCCGGGGAGAGCAGCGACGACGGGGGCGGAGAGGCGCCCGCAGGGGCTGAGGGCCAGGCGGCGGCGGCAAGCGCGGCCGTGGCGCGGCGCCTGGCACGCCAGGTCCTGCAGCGGCAGCTGGTGGCCGACCCCATCAAGGGGCCCTACCTGCGGCTGGAGCTGGCGGCGTTGAGCGCCTGCTGATGTTGCGGGTGTCGTGACAACTGGCCTGTCACCTCTTGTATGCCACGTGCACTCCATAGAGGAGGAGGCTGACCCTCCGCTCAACCGCCACTTGCCGCCTGCTTGTCCCGGACACTGTGTTTAAATTGTTTCTTGGAGCACTGGGGAAACTTGTATGGCCCCCAGGTTCTGCGGTGGGATGCTCCTGCTCCAGGAATTCCGATGGAGGGAGGGCGGCGGCAGGTGGCCGGCGGGGCGTCAGCGGCGCAAGGGCCAGCGGCGGAGTGCCTGGTGTTGTAAGCAGCAGCTCCAATGGAGCTCCTGGACACACACATTCGGGCTGGTCCATGCAGAATGTTTCATGCAAGATGGTACTGGGCGTGAGCGGCCCGACCGGAGCCTCCGACGTGGCTTTTGAGCTAGCTGTCTTCCCTTTGCGCTCACGTTGACTCTGAATCCATCAAAACAAATTCCCCCGCAAACACCAGCCCTCCGGCTGCGACCTCAAAACACTATTGACAAACTCCCTGCACTCGACAGCAAACCACTTGCAGCCTGTTCCGGTGATGAGTTGGACTCACGAATCCGCGTAACCCACAGCGCATGGGCCGACAGCGCTTGGGCCACAAGGAGCCGCGCACCGCCCGGAGCTCCCCCGCCCTCGGGCGCGTGCTGCCAGTCCTTCTAGTGGTGCTGACGCTGCAGAAGGTCGATGCCGGGTGCACAGGGGGTGAGCTCGCAGGCGCAGATGTGCGGCACCACCACTGCCGCCACTAGCCACTTGCCGCTTGCCGTCGTGGACTTCGCGGCCGCCTCCCCATACCACTGCACACATGTGCCCTTCCGCCTGCAGGCTTCCTCAAGCTTGACCTGCTGTCCACCAGCGGTGGCGCCGGCTGCGACGGCAGCCTGCATGCCCTCTGCCTCCCTAGCCTGCGCGTGGGCGTCGCCGCCAACTGCAGCGTCGCGCTCACGCCGCTGCCGCTCAGCGGCGGCGTCGCGTCTGTGCCGGGCATCTGGTCCAGCAACCCAGGCAGCACCTACACACGCCCGTTGGGCTGCCCAGCAGCGACGACAGCCGGCGTGGACCCAGAAGGCGGCTCTAGCCCCACACCAGCGCAGCTGAGGGCGGCCGTCCAGTTGGCGCTAGAGCGGCACGTGTATGGCGCCGCGCACCAGCTAGGCATCGCCAGCCTGGCCTGGGCAAACGGCACGCTGACGGCCACCACCACGACCGGCACCTGCGCTTTGAAATACGCCATCACGCAGGTACACGCTGCGGTGGGCAGCAGGATGCATGCAGCTCCCTGACCGGGAATCAGGGGTGCAGCAGCACCCCGGGTGTGCAAGCTGCATCCACGGGCAACGGCTCACGCCTGGCTGCTCGAGGCCTGCCCCATGCCCGCAGGTCTCCCCCGCCTCAGGCAGCTACGCTGAGCAGCTTGGGGCGGATGCTGTGCCCGCCCAGTGCGATGTGGAGGGCGTGCTGCTGGATGGCGGCGAGTGCCAGATGAACCTGGCCGACAGCTGTGCGCCGGGCAGGCGGCCGGTGGAGCTGCCGCTGGGGGGCAAGGCCTGCGCGCTGTGCCGGGCAGGTGAGGCTCTGCCGCTGGCTGGCTGCTCGGCCGGCTGGCCGCTGACTGCTTGCTGCTGATGCCGGACGCCACCACCCCGGTGCTGGGATGGGTGCTGGGCAGGTGCCAGGCGCAGCATCTCTGAAGAACCTGCCCTCCACGCCACCGGGCTGACTCGCCTGCAGGAACCTACTCGGGCACCGGCACCGGCTGCGCTGCCTGCGCTGCTGGAAAGTATGCCGGCAGCGTGGGGGCCTCGTCCTGCTCCCCATGCGCCGCCGGCACCTTTGCACCAGGAGGTGAGGCCCCTGGGAGCGGCACGCCGCCTGTGTTTCCCTCTCTGCCAGCCCAGCGCTCCTATCTCACACCTCCCTCCCCTGCCCGCACTGCGGCCTGCAGGCAACTCCGCGTGCGTGCCATGCAGCCCTGGGACGTACCAGGGCGCGCAAGGCAAGGCAGCCTGCGACCCCTGGTGAGCTTACAGCATGCAGCGAGCCCAGCCGCGAATGTTGCCTTCTGCATGCCGCGGGTCCCACACGACGCCAGATGGCCGCTCTGAGCGCTGCCCTGCCTGCTGCCCTCCCAACCATGTGCAGCCCTTACCGCTCGTATGCGAGGCTGCCTGGCGCCACGCTGTGTGTGCGCTGCGTCGCCGGGGTGGCCCGCTGCGTCACGGGCTCCGCTGGCGGGTGCAACTCCAGCTATGCCGAGGCGCCCTCCCCAGGCACGCCGAGCAGCGGCAACAGCTTCGGGAGCACGCCATCTGCCTGACGCAGCCTGGTGCACAGGCAGGCCACTGCCGCCTGCCATTCCACATCCCCCTGCCCACCTCCACCTCGCCCACCCCCCCTGCAGGCTACCAGGTACTGTCGGTCACAGCCGCCGGCACCCTGCCCGCCGCCGACTGCGCTTTGGGCCCGCAGCTCGCTTTTGCCAGTCCGCCGCTGTTTGGGCGGTGCAGCCTGGCGCCGCCTGGCGCCACCCTGCTCAGCCTGTACGTGGACCAGTACTGCGGGGCGGTGCTCACTCCCATGTCCGACCCGCAATGCGCGGAGCCGGGCGCCTCCTACTGGCCCAGCATGAGGATCGCCGCCCACTTTGTCACCCCCACGCTCATAGCCACCCGCTTCAATCCCGCCGCCACCTCTCCCACCAGGTGTGGCTTGCGCTGCTTGCCTGCGCGCGACCTCACCCGGCTGCCGTGTGCGAGGGCGAGCCCCGCCAAACAAGCCTTGGTCGGATGCCTGATGCGAGCCTTGTCCCGCCATGCAGCTCCTACCTGCTGTCCCTGACGCCCGCGGGCCCCGACACCCTGACCCTGTCTTACTGGCCAGCCACGACAGACCCCACCCAAGCAGCCTTGGTCTCAGGCTCCAGCCAGGCAAGCAACCAATGGCAGCGATGGAGCGGATGGCAGCAGCTGGCTGGGTGACCCGCAGAGCAGCGCCCAGCGGCAGCCTCCGGTGCCGCCAGCCGCCCAGTTCCGCCACGTCGCCAGACCGTTTCCGCTCTCTGCCCTGCAGGTGTGCACCGGCACAGCGACGGTGGTGGGCGGGCAGGTGGCAGGCGTGCCCGCCACCCCGACAGCGTGCCCGCCAGGATCCTATGACGACTCTCAGGACGAGGATGGCTGCCGGCCGTGGTGAGCCTGCCTCCTGCTCTCCAGCACTGAATCTCATACAGGGGCAGCCGCCAGCGATTGCCGGCACTGTGCTGAGCACGCAGCCTGGCTGCCAGCCCGCGCATCCCAGCCTGGCCGAGCGCCAGCTGCTGCCGCCCTGACCGGCTCTGCGCCCTGTGCGCTTCCAACTGCCTGCAGCCCTGAGGGGTCTGGTTGTGACCTCAATGCCATCTCCCCCACACCCTGCCCGGCCGGTGAGCTCGTACTGCCACCCGTTGCTGCTGTACTGCGCACCAACCGTTGCTGCTACCTGCCCTCGCGCCGCCCTCCTGCATCCTGCCGGCCGCGGTGCCAATGCATGCACACACGCACGCCATGACACTTGCCCACTGCCGCCAAGCAGCCTTACCCCACTGCCGCGACGCTGGCGTGTGCGTGCAGACCACTACCAGCCCTACCTGGGGGGCAGCCAGGCCTCCTGCCAGGCGTGCAACGCCTCTGAGGACCCCCGCCACACCGCCAACGCCGGCGACGCGTACTGCCTGGTGCCGTGGGTGGACACAGAGTGCTCCCACGGCTACGAGTACGACGACGCCACCACCACATGCTCCATCTGCGCGGCGGGCACGCAGCGGCGGGTGGGGCGCGAGGCGGCCTGCGTGGCATGGTGAGGGCGCTGGCGGCGCGGCGATGCGCCGCGGGGCTGCCGCGGGAGGGTGGCTGGTGGCAGTGCGGGGGGACTGATGTGGCAGCGCGGCAGCAGCCGACCAACTTCTGCTGGGACATGGGCCCCTCCCTTGTTCCCTCTGCAGCCCGCCTGGCCACTACTCCCCCCTCGGCGCAGCAGACTGCCTGCCCTGCCCCTTCAACCAGTTTGCGCCTTCGTACGGGCTGGGTGAGTTGCTGCCGCCGCCGCGCCTCTGGCCTCGCATCGTGCTTCTCACACTGGCAGTGACAGGCATTCAGCTCACTCGTTGCGCCTATGCACACCTCATTCTTTGCAGCCGAGCGAAGCACGGGGGTCCAAAAGTGTTACTTCTGCCCAGTGGGTGCTGTGGCACTCTCAGGCGCGGGCGCCACCGGCCAGACTGCCTCCGTCAGCTGTGACGCCTGGTGAGCGCGGCCTGTCCTGCCGTGCTGCGTGTTCAGACGCGGGGCGGCACTGCTGAGCACAGCGCAGGGCGCAGGCAGCTGTGGATGCAACGGCCACTTGACGCCCCGCTGCCGCCTGCTGCCCTTGCCCTGCGGTGCAGCCCGCCCGGCACCGTGGCCGCCATCACGCCCCCGCTCCTGTACGCCACCTGCAAAAACTGCTCGGACGGCTACTACCGCCCCGGCTTCGCCTCCTTCAGCAACAACGTGTGCAAGCAGATCCCGGCAGGTGCGGCGTGTGCTCATGCCAGAGACTCACGGCTCTGCGCTGCCCAGCACACTGCCGTGCCGCAGCCCGGGCCCTGGCGCTCGCGCCCAGCTGGCCGCCGTCTCGTCCCGACTCCGTGCCTGCTGCCGCCGCCCCGGCCATGTGCAGGCCAGAGGGAGGTGTCCCGTGCCTCGGCGGCCTACCCCCGCGCCCAGGTGCAGGCCTGCAGCAAGGGGGAGGTGTCTAGCTGGGCCGCCGCCACCCGCTCCCCCGCCGACCCACAAGAGTGCCAGCCGTGCCTGGGGGACAACACGTATGCGCCGCGCACAGGTGCGCACAGCTGTGGGGTGGCATGCGGACACTGTGCCTGGGGTCGTGCCTGGGGTCATGCCTTGGGGCCTTGATGACGGAGATGGGTGGCGCGGCAGCCTGAACATGCGGCGCTGGTCTCCGCTGCCGCGTGCTGCAGGCATGTCCAGCTGCCGGCCGTGCCGGGGTGGCACGGCTCCCGGCAAGTCCAATTCTAGCCTGGCAGGCAACGACCAGTGCGTGGCCTGCACTGGCAACACCTACCGGGCAGCGAGCAGCACCAGGTGTGCAGGCTGTCTCATGCCGCAGGCGCGACAATACGAAATCGTCAGCTACCTGGAGCAGTTGGGAGGGGCTGTGGGCCAGATGGCAACCTGTATCATGCTCCCCATGCCCCGCAGTCCCACCTGCCTGGTCTGTTTTGCGGGGCGTGAGGTGCACGGCAGCGGTTCGGCGTGCGTACCCTGGTGAGTTGCAGCTGGAGTTGTGGGGTGGGGTGGGTGGGGTGCTGTGTATGGACGCAGCGGCTGATCGCGGCCCCTTCACCCGCTGCTGCAGCATGCCGGGCTACTACATGCCAGATGTGGATGGAGGCACAAACACGTCCAAGCCTGCAGCCGGGGAGGCCTGCCTGCCATGCGAGGTGCGCCAGGCTGGTGCTGGCGGCGGTGGTGGTGTGGAGGTGTGCGGCACGGTCTTGCCTGCCATCCTCTGCTCCTGCTGTCAACACCTGCCTGCCTGCCGCCGCGCCTTCAGGCAAACAGCCACCAGCCGCTGGTCGGCCAGGCCAGGTGTCAGTACTGCGCCGCCGGCCACAGCACGGAAGACGCAGGCAACACACACTGTGTGCCCTGCGCCTATGGCTTCTATTCGCAGTTCCCTGGTGCGCAGCGTTGCTGTGTGTTGTTGTCGGGCACCCATGTCCAGCTGCTGCCGCCGGCCGACGCCTCCCAACGTTTGCTCTGCTCTTGGCCCACCGGCGCCGACGACCTCCCACCCTGCTGGCCTCCTGCCGCCTGCAGCCAGCCCTTGCGTCCCTGCTCCCAAGGGCACCTTTGTGAACACTACAGGCGCCACCCGATACACACCATGGTGGGTGGGTGCCGCTCTTGGCATCTTGCCCGGCATGAGCTGCCTGCTGCCGCACAGCCTGAGAGGTTTTGTTTGAGGAAGACTGGTAGCGCTCTTGCTGCAGCAGGGGAACAATGCCACCGACGTAATGCCTTCCTGCCCACCCTGCCTGCCTGCCCGCCTGCCTGCAGTGCGCCCGGGACGTTTAGTGATCAGGTGGCGGCGGACCAGTGCGATGCCTGCGGGCCCGGCCAGTATGCGAATGGGCAGGGGTTCTCGGCCTGTAAGACGTGCCCGGCCGGCACATACTCGGGCGGGCACGCGACGACGTGCCAGCGCTGCCCGCCTGGCTTCAGCGCGCCGTCGGGAAGCGGCGGGTGCAGCCCCTGGTGAGCGGCCAAGTACTGTGGCTGGGCGGTGGGCTGGAAATGTCCCACAACTTGCAATCAGGTGCACTCCCTGGCCAACCAACTGTGGCCTGAAGCGACCTTTTGCTCCCGTGCCCTGCAGCAAGCCGGGCTCCTTTTCGTCGGGCTGGGGCGCTCAGACATGCCCGCTGTGTCCCCTGGGCAACCAGTGCCCTGGGCTTGCGACAACGTGAGCTCCACCCTGCGGTTGAGCAGCATGAGGCCAGCGGCCCTGGCGGTGCACAACCAGGGCGGTGCCGCTGCCGACAGGGCTGATCGTGGCGCATCCACTGTGCCGCTTGCCTGAGCATGCCTGCCTGCCTCCACCCCTGGTGCAGAGATCCCCAGCCCTGCCCCCGCGGGCAATTCAACAACAAGCAAGGCGCGCGGATCTGCTCGCAGTGCCCCGAAGACACTTTCTCGGACACCACCGGCCAGCGCGGCTGCAAGACATGGTGCGCTGGCAGCAGGCGGGTCCCACCGTGCTTGCCTCTTGCCAATCGTCGCAAGTGCAGACCCTCAGTGCTGATGCTGGCTGTCCCCTCCTGTCCTTTGGCTGCAGCGCGCGAGGGTACTTCACCCGCGGGTTGACCGGCCAGTCAGCCTGCCAGGCGATGAGGAACAACGTGGCGACCGCCTCTGTCCGTCGGCGCCGGTGGCTGCTGTGAAGCGGTCAACCGACCTGCAATAGCATGGGCGTCACCCCCGTCGCCAGTTTTCCTTTTCTTCCTTAATCAATTATCTTCACATCTGGTTTCTAAATGAATCATGCTCCATTGCTTATCCGCATTGCTTCCCCCCTTTCCACACTGACTACGCCCCTGGTGTTTACTGCTTGCTCTACCAGTGCTTGGTGCGCCACCGGTGTCATGCACCGTCGCTGCACTGAACCGGCTACTCTGCCCACAAACATAAAGTGGCTGTAACATTTAATTCATGATGTGGTGCTTCCTGGGTTGCTGCCTTGATCGGCTTCCACCAGTGCAGACCTGCCGCGCCGCCATCTACCAGGCATGTACATTGCCCGGGCGCCTTGCATTGAGGAGCCAGGTGAAGACGGGCAACTGCAGTCGCCCAATTATCGATCGAGGGCAATTTCCACGACAATGACGCGGGCCAGAAGCTGCACAGCGATCAACGCGCCTGCACAGCGCCTTCCAGCTCAGCTGGGCGCGTTTGGTCGCCATCATGGACCTCCCCTCGCCCTATCTGTATTCCTGCGGGCTTCACGCAGATACAGGAGCTGCTACCAGGCAAAGTCCGGCAGTCGGGAGGGACTGTAGGCCTCTGCCGCCCATCACCGCGTGAAGCCTTGCACGCCCTGGGCGGCACGCCTCCCGCACCAATTGCCCTCTCCCTCCAGTTATCTGATCACTAGAGTAACCGGAAAATCGCGGTGGCTGCATGCCTTCCGGCGGTCGGCAGCTGGCAGCACAGAAGGCGGCGGCGGCGGCGGTAAGCCGGGAGCCGCGGCGTGCTGTTCATGCCCCATCGCACACTGAACCTTGCTTAGTTGCGATGCACACTTGCATTGTGCACCCTGCTCCCTGTCTTGCAGAGCAAGCTAGATGTGGAAGCAGGCACCGCCACTGCCCAGGCCGCTGCCCAGGCCGGCGGCTGGGTCACCTCCAAAGCAGCGCTGTACGTCGCCATCTTGGTGCTGGTCGCAGCATCGGCAACGGCGGTTGCGGTGGGCGTGACACAGGGCGTCACGAAAGGCAGCAGCGTGCCGGCCCCGCAACCGGGTGCCAGCGCACCACCACCACCTGCCCTCTTGCCGCCCGCCGCCACAAGACCACCACCGCAGTCGCCCTCTCCTATACGACCACCACCGCCGGCGCCCTCTCCTGCATGGCCACCACTGCCGGCGCCCTCTCCTGCACCCGCACAAGCACCTACACCTGCACCCAACCCGGCACCGGCACCGGCACCGGCTCCAGAACTCTCCTCCCCGCCACCTGCTTCAGCGCCGCCCTCTCCTGCGCCGGCTTTGCCCCCACCGCCCTCTCCACCTGTCCCCACCTCGCTGCCACCCCCCTCTCCTGAGTCCGCCTCGCCGCCACCGCCCTCTCCCGCACGCGCTTCGCCCCCACCGCCCTCTCCTCCTGTCCCCACCTCGCCGCCGCCGCCCTCTCCCGTGATGTCTCCGCCGCCGCCGTCCCCGCCACCTGCTTTCCCCCCACCCAGCGCGCTGCCGCCGCCGCCTGGGCCGCCGCCGCCCTCCACGTCGGCGCCCTTCCCAGTCCCCGATGGGAGCGTGGCTCTCTGGTGGGACGAGTTTGACGGCGGCGGCGGCCTGGACGCCAGCAAGTGGCTGCTGGAGACAGAATACCCGCAGGGCAGCCTGGATACCAACCAGCAGCAGGCAAGGACTTGCCACGCCGGCAGGCGACCGGCAGCACGGCGACAGCCCATGCTCTGCAAACCTTTTGCAGATGGCTTCCTGGCTGGGCTGTGCTGCCGACCTGGCTTCGCCGCTGCCACCCTGCGGTGCAGGTGTACACCGGGAGCGACCAGAATGTGTGGCTGGCCGACGGCAGCCTGCACATCTCGGCGACCAAGGTGGGCTGGCGGGGCGGCCTGATGCCGTGCCCATGCCAGCAAGTGTGGGCCTGCCTGGCGCCGGCCCCGGCCGCTGCCGCCGTCTCAGCTTCCGTCCGCTGTCCTCGTTCTGCATTCTGCAGGACGAGTCGGGCTACAAGTCGGGCCGCATCAACAGCAAGGCAGGCGGCAGCTGGTTCCCGGGCATGCAGCTGGCTGATGGCGCCACGCTGGGCAGCCTCCGTGTGGAGGCGCGGATACGGGTGCCCCAGCCAGGGCAGGGCATTTGGGCGGCCTTCTGGCTGAGCCCGCCCAACTTCGCCTACGGCGGCTGGCCCCTGTCGGGAGAGGTACGTGTGCCTGGCCTCCCGCTCCAGACATGCTTACTGTGGCGCACGCCGCGCTGCGCAGCGCTGTGGTCTGCTCGCTTGAGCTTGAGAGGCCGGCTGCTGTGCCTCATGATGCCCCTGCCCCTGCTGACTGCAGATCGATGTCATGGAGGCAATCAACTCGATGAGCAGCATCACCCAGGGTCTGCACTACGGGGGGCAATGTGCGCACGCAAGCCCGCCCCGCTGTGTCTGGCTGCGCTGCCGCGCTGTGTCTGGCTGCGCTGCTGCGCCGGCTGCGCTGACCACGGTGGCTTCCCCCATCAGGCTGCGCCCCTTGCGCTTGCCGACCCCGGGCGCCCTTGGTTGCCGCAGACCCCGACAACGTGGTGGACGACACCTCCACGCAGCAGCCCGACCAGAAGCCCTACTCAGATGGCTTCCACACCTATGCGGTTGACTGGGACCGCGACTCCGTGACCCGTGAGTGAGCCCGGGCCGGCCAGGGGCAGCAGGCTCCTGGGCAGCATTGCCAGCAACTGGAACTGCCCCCCTGCCGCTGGCGCTGACCTGGGGTGCGCTGCGCTGCCTGTGCCGCTGCAGTGTCCATTGATGGGCTGCAGGCCAAGCGCGTGGTAAGCCGCCAGCTGGACCCTGGCGGCGGCTGGTGGACGGCTGCCGCGCCGGACGACCCGCAGGCGCCTTTCAACATCCCCTTCTCGATCATCCTGTGAGTGTGCTGCAGCATCTGCTTGGCCTGGTGGATGTTGCCAGGCGTGCCCCTCCAATGGCCGCCGGTTCGCTGACAGCTGCCAGTGCTGGCGGGCTTGCAGGAATGTGGCGGTTGGCGGCGACTGGCCGGGCCCCCCCGATGACAGCACGCCCTTCCCGGCCACCATGCTGGTTGATTACGTCAGGGTGGTCGGGACGGCCGAGTGATGATGCCAGCTGGGTGCTGCCTGCCGCCATGGAACCGCCACGAGCGCGCTGTACACTACATAGTGCCAGCACTGTTTTTTTCAGATGATTTGCTCCGGATTCCTCATCACACTGCAACACTGATTCAGCTCCCCAAGCATGGGACGGCATCAATTGCCAGCACCTGGGAATACAGTTCTGAATGAAATGGCGAGGCCCCTGGGTGATCGGGCATAGCGGCAGGGGGGAGTCACAAGGGCGCAGCGGTGCGGCGCTGCCAGACATGTATCGGAGTCCACTTGGGGAAGTGGCTTGTGGCCCAGCCCCATGGCTGCCGCTGGTTGGCTGCTGCCGGCCAACAAGTCGTGCTCCTCCAGCAGCACCGCCTCCCCTGTAGGTCGCGCAAGCAGCCAAGTTCACGCTTGGGCTAGCCTAGCCTGAGGCAGGCAAGCACACGATACAAGGCAGAGCTGGCGGAAACACAGCCTGCAGCCGCGCCCAGGCACGCACCTGAGGCAGCCAAGCAGGCACCGTCTGAGGACAGCGTGGCGCAGAGCAGCGGCCGCTGCGGCGCATCTTCGGGGAACAGGCTGGCCACCTCCCCTGCACCGCGTCGCGCACCGCACCCAGGGATCAAAAACGCTGGGGCTTTGGTTGAAGGGCGTGCCTGGCTGCTGCCGGCGGGCTGGCGCCGGCCGGCAGCAGCTCACCCGTATCAACGTCAATCAAGTGGATGCCACCGTCGGCCCCCGCCGCCGCCAGCACCTGGCTGCCGCCCTGGCGCAGCAGCGCGCACGACAGCAGCGGCGCATGCAGCTGCAGGTGCTGGCGGCAGGCGCCCTGCCGCACGTCCAGCATCATCACGCCGCCATCCTTGGCCACGGCACAGAACAGGCCGCCCTCACCAAAGCAGCTGGTCGACAATACACAGGGAGGGCGGGCAGGAGGAGGTCAGCGCAAGCAAGGTTGGGGCTGGGCACGAGGCGGGGCCCAGCATGCGCCTCGCCACTGGGAGCCACCCGCAGGACAGACTGCCGCCGCTCCAGTGCGGCCTCGCGGCTGGCCCAGCGCACAGCTGTGGTGCGCATGCTCGCCCCTCACCAGTCGGACCCCATGGCCTGGTTCCAAGGCAGCGTGCACAGCGGCGTGATGGCGCTGTCGCCGCTCTGCCGGCCCCACAGCCGCAGGCGGCCGTCGCTGCAGGCGGCGCCCAGCAGCGGCCCGTCTGGCTGGGCGGCTACACCAAACAGGTAGCCTGGGCGCCACCGCTCGGGGACTGCAATGCAGGGTTGAGGCAAGGCACACCTCAGGGCAAGCAATGGTGCAGCAGGGGGGGTGGCTGATTCACGCCAGCCAATCGACACATCAGCAGTCCCAGATGTGGGCAGCGTGCCGCATCGAGGCACCGCCTGGCCATGCGGGCGCCTTGCCTTGGTGCTCGCCCCCGCTTGCCGCCTCTAGCGGCGGCGGCGGCGGCACCTGCTGCAGCAGCCGCTGCGTGGACAGGTCCCACAGGAAGAGCGACTCCCCGCTGGCTGCCACCAGCCGCTGTGCGCTGCCGCTGCTGCCGCCGCCGCTGCCGCCGCCGTTCGCGCCTCCGGGGGTGGCACCAGCCTGCTGCTGGTGCTGGAGGAAGAGGCAGGCGTACACCTCCTCAGGGTGCCCCCCCAGCGATGCCAGCTGCTCGGTCCCGACGGCGCCCAAGTTGTGCCGCGCCGACAGCGCCGCCTCCGTGGGGCGCCACAGGCACACCACGCCATCCGACGACCCTGCAGTGCACGGTCAGCGCACTGGTGGCAGCATACCACCTGGCTGCCCTGCGTGGAAGCCAGTGTGCAGCGGCAGCTGGCGAGGCGGGGTCATGCGGGGTGCGGCGGCCATACCCGAGGCGACCATCTGGCTGTCTGGAGACCAGGCCGCGCGCATGACTGAGTCCCCATGGCCGCGGAAGCTGGCCACCTGCATGTAGCGCGTGCCTGCCACGCCGCCGCCCTGCTGCCGCCGCCACACCCCCGCGGTGCAGTCATCTGCACGCCGCCGAAGAGGGGGATGGGGGTTGGAGGCAGGGAACGCATGCAGACCGCAAGGCCAGGCAGGAGGCTAGCAGCGGGCAGGCAGGGAGTGCAGGTGGGTGCTGGGCAGCGCCAATGCCGCACCCGATGCCGACACCAGCAGGTCGGAGGTGGCCGGGTGGAAGCTGAGGTCAAAGATACGGGCGTCGTGGCCTGTGTGGCACAACAGGAGCCGGTGAGGCCGCTGCTGCTGCCATAAATGGAGGAGGCTGGCACCGCAGGATGCAATGGCCATGTGGGCATCCCCTGTGCATGGTTCTCACCGTAGGCACGGCAGACCCGCCCGTCGCCAAACCCGTCGGCGGCAGCTTCAGCGGCACCGCACCTGCGGCACGTGACCCCAGGAGTCGCTCCCAGGCATCAATTGTCTGGTGATCAGCAAGCAAAAGCATAGTTCCCGGGCAGTGTGCCACCCAGGCAGGCACACAGCCTCACTCACGCGGTGGAGAGGGCACCGAAGCCGTGCTGGGCCGCCGCCAGCTGCGTGCTGAACGCCTGGGGGGGACCGGCCGGCGGCGGCGCTGCCACAGACCTCACGCGAGGCATGCGACACGTCCAGCGGGCCGCTGAGACGGAGAGGGAGAGGTTTGGTTAGCGATCACATACGGAACATAGGATTGACGGCCTCAGACCCTCGGCTCGCATCTACTGAGACAGTAAGCAGCTTCCATTATTGCCAGCAGTGCAAGGAGCGCAATTCCGCACATTGCATGCTTCCTTGATCCCAGCGTGCCCAGCATGCGTTGGCGGCGGCCAGCCTGTCACAATTTTGAACAAGCTGGATTGCAAATACTATATTCAGGACACAATTCAGTGCACGTTGACCCTGACCAGGGCATTGGTGAGGTACTGCCCCTCTGGGTAGTTCGGGTCGAGCGTGTGGTCGGGCGCCGCGCCCGCCAGCCGCAGCACCGTGACGCGCCGCCCCGCATCCCTGGCCGCCCCCGCCAGCATGGGCACGAAGCCGCCGCTCTGGCTCATGGCGCCGCTGCAGCTGCACGTCATGAGCAGGCCGCCCGGCTCCACCAGCTGGATGGCCAGCGCATTCAGGCGGCGGTACTTGCGGGTCGCCTTGTCCAGTGCCTTGCGGCTGGGAGCCAGCTTGGGCGGGTCAAACACCACCAGGTCCCACCGCCGCCGCTCGGCAAGCGCCTGCGAAGGGGAGGGGAGCCGGGGCGGCGGCGGCGGGTCAGGCACGCACACTCATGGCGGGCGCCAGCAAGGGGTGAGAAGGCGGGGCCGAGCACATCGAGAGGGGCGCCGGCCGCATGACATGTGCTGTGGGTACACACACACGCACACACTCGCACACGCACACACGCGCACGCACACACACACACACACACGCGCGCGCCTGCTTCATGAACTCCGTCACGTCGCCCCGCACAAAGCTGCACACATCCTGCCAGCCGTTGAGCGCCGCGTTGCGCGCCGCCAGCTCCACGGCGGGCGCCGAGGAGTCCACCCCCAGCACCTCGCCCGCGCCGCCCGCCGCCGCGCTGAGCGCAAAGCCGCCCGCGTAGCAGCACAGGTCCAGCACGCGCAGGCCAGAGGCCAGCTGGCGCACCTGCGGGCAGGCAGGCGGGGAGGCAGGCGGGTGCGGGGGAGGCGCCATCAGCGGAGCGAAAGCCCAGCCAGGCGCGGGGTGCCCCGCCGGGGCCGGGACACCCCAGCCAGGAACATTCGCAGGCAGGGCCGGCATGCTGGCAACCCACCGCCGCCCGGTTGTCCCGCTGGTCCGCGTAAAACCCGGTTTTCTGGCCGTAGGGTGCCGCCAGGTATTGGATGCCGTTCTCGACCACCACAGCAGTGAGCTGGGCTGCTGCTTCGGCTGTGCTGCCATCCGCACCATCGCCTCCGCCGCTGCTGGAGGCAGCGCCGCTGCTCTGCTGCCGCTCGGCGCTTGCTGCTGCGGCTGCGGGCTCTCCTCCCGCTCCGTCCCCTGCCTCGTCTGCTGCACCATCTGCCTTGTCGTGTGCCCCACCCGCAGACCCCAGCTCCAGCCCCTCCTCCCGCAGCATGTCGAGCGCGGGGCGCCAGATGATGCTGGAGAGGCCCGTGTGCTGCCGCAGGCTGGTGCAGATGCTCTCACGGTGCTTCTCCACCCAGGCAGCTGCAAGGGGAAGGGAGGCGGGCAGGTAGGGTGCGCAGAAGGACCTTGCTGCTTTGGATTGGGCCAACCGGCACACACACACACACAAGCACACACAAGCACACATCAACACACATGAACTGTGCGGCTCCAACCGCCGCACCCGAGGACGCCACCACCAGGTGCTCCCCCAGCACATCTACAATCAGCCCCGAAAGGCGGTCGCCCTCGCTGTTGACCAGGCGGAACACGGTAGTGGCGCCGCCGCCCTGCCGCGCCCCGGCTGCCGCTGCTGCTGGGGCAGGGCCGCAGCGGAGGCCCAGCGCGGCACGCAGGCGCACCGCCTGCTGGATGCGGGCGCCGACCAGGGCGTGGAGGTCGGGGCGCTGCTGCAGGGCGCCGCCGCCAAACACCTCGTCCGCTGTCTGCATCATCCTGCGGGGCAGCAGCGCGCCGCGGCAGCAGCGCCGCAGGTGTGGGAGCAGGCAGCAGAGCAGAGCAGAGGAGGCGGCAGCGCAGGGCTGGAGCTGGGCAGCAGGCGGCTGGAGCGCTCTGCCTCCGCCTCACCTGACGCGGAACATGCTGCTGGGGTTGAACACGCCCCATCCGATCGTCTTCTCGCTGCCGTCGCACACCAGCACAGCATCGCCGGCCTTGGGGGCGGGGCGCCCCAGCACCCGGTCCACAGCGCCCGAGTACACCATGGGCTGCTGCTGCTCCGCAAACAGCTTGGACTTGCCGCCCTTGAGCACCACGCGCGGCAGCAGCGACTGCCCTTCACCCTGCTGCTCCTCTTCCCGTGGCTGAGGCTGCTCCTGCTGCTGAGGCTGCTTGCGGGGCTGGTCAGAGTGCTGCTGCTGCTTGCGGGCGGGAGCGGCGGCGGGCGGGCCCTTGGGCGCCGCCGCTGCGGCCGCTGCATGCATTGCGCTGCGTTGGCATCGCCGTCCGCATGCCGTCCCGGCCAAGCGCAGGCTGCTGGCAGGGCCGCAGCGCAGCCCCACCGCCGTCAGCACAAGCATGTGCCCTTGCATGTGTGTGCCTGCACTCAGGTGGCGTGTGCCTAGACTCAGGCGGGTGTCGGGGTGTCAGAGAACAGGAGAATTGGTCTTATAAGAAACACGCTGCTGGGCCTGCTGCCAGCCACTCTGCGCAACAGCACTCTTGCATTGCAATCGCCACGCCTTGCAATTGCAAAGAGCTCGTGCATTGCCTGGTGGCAGCATATTTGGCCAGCTGCAGCCTCCACTGCGCTCCCAGAACGCTGAATTGCAACATGGTCCTCACGCTGGAGCCATTCTCTTCCGCGACCTCTGTGCGGGCTGGCAACCGATCTGGGTTCAACATCAGCTCCCTGCAGGCCCCACGCCGGCGCGCGCAGCAGCTGCATAGGTGGGCGCCGCACATGTCGCTCTCCGCACCACTGGAACCACCTGAACGCGGTCCTGGCATGCTGCAGGGTCGTCCAAAAGTGCAAAGCGGCGGCCGAGGCCTCCGTGCAGGCGGGGCAGGCGGCTGCCAAACCTACCGCCGCCGCCGCCGCCGCCGCCGCCACCGTGCCAGCACCTGCAGCCCCCGCGCCCAGCAGCAGCGCTGCTGCTCTCACCTACACATCGTACGAGGGAAATAGCTTCTACGTCCAGTTCAAGTCGGGTAGGTCAGAGGCAGAGGCAATCAGGGAGAGACTCGACGGTGGGCCCCGCCCTCTCCTGTAGCACCGCTCGGTGTCGCCGACCTCACCTGCCCTCTCCTGCCCCCAAACACACAACGCCGAATCGGCTGGTGCAGGCATCAACGTGCTGGTGGACCCCTGGCTGGTGGGCAAGCTGACCTTTGGCGGCCTGGAGTTTGTGTATGCGGGCAGCAAGCGGGTGGCGCGCCCCGAGGCGGTGGATCTGGAGGCGCTGGCCGCCGCCACAGACGTGCTGGTGCTGACGCAGGGCATCGACGACCACGCGCACAGGTGCGTGTGGGACGGGGAGAGGAAGCGAAGGGACAGGAAGCCGAGGGACAGGAGCAGGCAGGGCAAGACAGAAGTGTATTGGCACGGCGTGGAGCTGGCTAGGACAGCTGCGTTCTCGGCTGACTGCCGCTGCCGACGGCCGCCGCTCCCTGGCACCCGCAGGCCCACGCTGCAGCGCCTGCCCAAGACGGTGCCGGTGGTGGCGTCGGCGTCGGGCGCCGCCGTGGCTCGCTCCCTGGGCTTCCGCACCGTGTACACGCTGGGCACTGACCAGTCGCTGACGCTGGGCGGGCTGACGCTCCAGGGCACCGCGGGTGAGCCAGGCAGCCAGGCCTGCGGCCCAGGCGCACCCCCCGGGGTGTGGTTGGATGGTGGATGGGGATGTGGATCGTTAGGGGAGAAGCCGCCGTGCGCTGCACTTGATGCGGGGTGCGGCAGGAGCTGTGCCAGGGTCTGTGTGCCGCCCCCACCTGCCCTGCTGCCCTGCCCCCTGCCCTCGCGCGCCGCACCGCGCAGGCGCGCTTGTGGGCCCTCCCTGGAGTCAGCGCGAGCTGGGCGTGGTGCTGCGGGACGACGCAGAGGGCGGCGCCAGCCTGTACTATGAGCCCCACGCCGACTACCTGCCGGAGTCGGTGCGGCGCGCGGTGGCCAAGGGCGGCCCCGTGGATGTGGTGGTGTCGCCGCCCTGCTCCCAGAGCCTGCTGGGCTACCCGCTGGTGAGGCGGGGCTGCCGGGCTGGGCTGCGGAGGACTGTAGCAGCCTGGCAGCAGCGCTTCGGGGCACGCTGGTTGCACGCCGAATGTGGGTTGCAGCCAGCGTCGGTGCTTGCGCCCAGCCCGGCCCAGCCCGGCTGCTGTGCCCGGCTGACTCCCCTGCTCCCTGCCCTCCCCTGCCCGCAGGTCAAGGGCGCCACCGACAGCCTGGACCTGCTGCGCCTGCTGCGCCCCAAGGTCTTTGTGCCGCTCATGAACGCCGAGATCGACCAGGCGGGGCCGCTGGCGGAGCTGCTGGTGGAGGAGGGCAGCGTGGAGGAGCTGCAGCGGCAGCTGGCGGCGCAGCCCGACCTGGCAGCAGTCAGGGTGGCCCTGCCCACGCCCGCGCAGCCCATGGCGGTGGTCCTCTGATGGCGCGGCTGCCGCAGCTTGGGTGCAGGCGTGGTTGTGCGCGGCAAGCGCTTCCTGTCACGGTCGGCGCGCGTTGCGCAGAAGGAACCCACAGTCGCCGCCAAGCGGCTCGACTGCCGCCTTTCATAGTTCATTTCATTTTGATTGCATTGCATTTCATTGTGCCGTGTGGAGGATTCCAGCTCTGTAACCTAACTTAGGCTGAGCCGTCGCTCGCCGCCACGGAGCCGCCATGTGGCGCGCCGCCATGTGGCGCTACATTCTTTTCAACCACAGCCCCTGCGAGTCCGTGGCATTCTCTCTGATGCAGGCAGCCATGTGGGGCCGCAGCTGCTGTGCACTGCTGGTCGCCTTGTTTGGAGCAGGTGCGTGCCCTGGCCGGGTCGTTGACCTAGGCAGCTCCTAGCAGCTCCAAGGCAAAGAGCCTGCAGCTGCATGAGCGGTTTGGCCTGCTTCTGCACGCAGTTGCATCAGGGCCTGTGGCACCAGCACTCGGCGGCGGCGGCGGCGGCCAGAGCGGGCGAGCTGCACTGCGCCGCCCGCCTCGCAGGCTGCTCGTCACAGGCAAGCGCACAAGCTGTTGTGATGTCGCCGGCAGCCCGATGCTGCCGCGCTGTGGCTGCCGCCAGCCAGCTAGGCGCAATGCACATGCTGGACACCCCCCTTCTGCCTCCCCTTGGCGAAGACTTCATTGGCAAGGATCCGCGCGGGGCGGATGTGCGGGGGTCGGACGTGGTGGGGGCCGACCCGGTCGGCCTGGACCCGCTGGGGGGCGGCCGCGGGCGCCCCACACAGCCGGGCAAGGCCCCCGCCGCCGAGGCGCGGGCCGCGACACCCGCGACGCCCGCCAACTGCACCACTGCGGCGCAGCTGGTTGCCTCCAACCCCAACACCACCGTCCTGGAGCAGCTGGCCAAGGCAAGGTCGAGCCTGCATGCGCACCCGGCACGCGCTGCCTGCTGCCGCATCCGCCCCATCACGGCGCGCCTCCCGCCCCGCACGCACCCGCCGACGCCTGGCGCCACCTCCCCGCAGGCCTCTGGCCTGGCCGGCTACCTGGGCGACCCGTCCCGGGTGTTCACGCTGTTTGCACCCGACGACATCGCCTGGCAGTCCTTCTTTGAGGGTGCGCCTGGCCTGGCTGTGGATCCCCTCGCTGCCGCTGCCGTCGCCGTCGAGCAGCCGCCAGCGGAGCTGGCTGGCGACGTGTGGATGGCGGCTGGAGGGCCGGCTGCCTGTCTTCTGCAGCCACCAGTGGTATTGTATCAGCCCCGCCTGCCCGCACCTCCTGCCGGCCCCTCCTTGCCGCCCTGGCGCAGGGTTCAACCTGACGGCAGATGTGCTGGCGGCCGACCGGCAGCTGCTGGAGGCGGTGCTGCAGTACCACGTGGTGCCGGACCAGGCCCAGAGCCTGACCAAGGTGCGCTGGGGAGGCGCTGGAGGCTGCCCGCGTCGCTGCCGCTGCGCAAGGCTCGTGCATGCGTGCAAGCCGCCGGTGGAGCAGCGGATGGGTGGGTGGCACTGCGCAGCGGCTGCCAGCCGGGCTGGCCGCTGTTGCTGCAGGCGCCCCACCCCTGCTTGTTTGGCACGTGTGGCGGCGGCGCGCAGTGGAGCGACAGCCTGACGCTGCCCACGCTGGCGGCGGGGCAGGTGCTGGGGGTGCGGCTGCCTACAGCCACCAGCCCCAACTACTTTTTGGAGGGCGCGCAGGTGGGAAGGGTTGGGAGCAGGCTTGCAAGGCAGCCCTTGCACTGTTTGATGCCCAACGGCGGCTTCTGCTTCCCTGCGACTTGCCGCAACGGCCTGGGGGCCCGCCCGTCTCCCCACTCGCTGCACCGCAGGGCTACATGCTGGGCGCCATCCTGCAGCCCGACCAGCCCGCCTGCAGCGCTCTGGTGGACGTGGTGGGCAGCGTCATGATCTCCAATGCCACCGACGTGCTGCTCACGCAGCGTGGCCTGGTGGCGGCGGGCTGGGCAGCGGCGGCGGCGGCGGCGGCCGATGGGCGAGTTGGGCGGCGGCATCTACCGGCGCCGCCGGCTTGCTCCCAATGACTCACTGCACTGTCGCTTTCTCCACCCTGATTCCTTGAAACTTCGCAAAGACCCTTTGAGCTGATGCACAGAGCAGTACAGTTCGGGCAGTCCAAGGAGGAAAGTACTTGGCCTCCAATCCTCTCCCCCTCGACCTCCACTCCTTATACTCCAGCGGTGCAGACTAGCTCCTTCGCAGGCAGGACGGCATGAAGTCTGCCGTGATGATCCTGGCCCTGGCCCTGCTGGCTGGCTCTGCGCCAGGTACCCGCAGCCTGGTCGCCCCTGCGCCTGCCTGTCCATGCCTGCCTGCCCACAGCCAGGCCAGGGAGGTGGTGCAGGGATGGGCGGGCAGGGAGATGGGTAGACATTGGGCGGTCCCGTGGCGCGCGCCCGCCTCGCCGCCGGCGCGCCGCCCGCCAACCTCTCTGTCTGCCCTGCTGCAGGGGCCCAGGCCTGGTGGCATGGAGTCGGCGCCGACACTATCTGCGACCACCCCTTCCTGGCCAAGTGGATTCCCAAGTGCAAGCCTGTGAAGCCCAAGGTCATCAAGGGTGAGGCGGCGGCCGGATTAGCGCTCCCGCAGGGGTGTTGATGCCGCGCGTGCGCTCCCAGGTGCTGGCGCTCACTGCATGCAGTGCCCTGGTGCACCTCGGCAAACCTCCCGCCCTCCCCCACGTTGCCCCTCCTGCTCCTGCAGTCATCAAGGAGGTGCCCGTGCCCGTGCCGACGCCACCCCCGCCGCCAACTCCCGTGATCAGCGCAGTCCCCGCCCCCCCGCCCGCCCCAGTGGTCAGCGCCGCGCCTGTGCCTCTGCCCGTCCCGACCGCCGCCGAGGCTGGCGCCACCGCCGAGGCCGGCGCCACCACCACCACCACGCCCACCACCACGCCCACGGTGGGCTGATCTGGACTGTGCTGCAGCCGTGTGCTCCGCTCCCATCATCCCGGCCTGTGTGCTGCTACCAAGCCTGTCCCTGCCCCACCCTTCCCCTCCTCTGTGTGCTGCCCCTTCCCTGCAGACCACCACCCTCTGCCAGACGGTGGTGGATGTCGCCTCCGCTGACCCCGACCTGAGCACCCTGGTGGCCGCCGTCACGGTGAGGTGGCGGGGACGCGCGCCACCCCGACTCCCCATCCTGCCTTGGCCTTTGGCCTGCCTTGCTGCTGGGACTGAAGCACAGAGCTTTGGGGTGACGGGTTGAGGCTGCGCCCGCGCGTTCCGTTCCGCCTGTGAACACGTTACGTGCCCACCCACCCACCCGCCCCGCCCCTGCCGCTGGCTGCAGGCCGCGGGCGCCGCCGAGTCACTGGCCTCCCCCGACCTGGTGGCCACCATCCTGGCCCCCACCAACGCCGCCTTTTTGTCGCTGCTGGAGGCGCTGGGCGTGACGGCACAGCAGGCGCTGGCGCCTGAGTTCCAGCCCCAGCTGCAGAAGGTGGGCGGGGGCAGCCGGGGACCGGGCTGCCAGCCGCGCCTAGTGCTGCTGCCGTGCGCACACCACCGAGTGCGCTGCGGAGCCCCTGGCACTGCCTACCTGCGCCTTTGTCCCCCTCCAATGCGTTGCCCTCTCAACACACACATCTTCTCAGCCCTGCCTCCCCGCTCTCGCCTGGCGCAGATCCTGGCCTACCACGTGGTGCCCGACGCCGCCGTCACCGCCGCGGAGCTGACCGACGGCGAGACCCTGGACACCCTGAACACCGGGGAGAGCGTGACGGTGGGGCGGGGTGGGGTGCCACGGCCCTGCACTGCACGATGCTGCTGATGCCATGCCACCAGCTGGGGGTCTGGCCCCCATGCGCCAGCTTGCGCAAGCTGGCCCTGCCTTCTCCTCCCTTTCGCCACCCCACCTGAACCCTCCTGCCCGCCACCTGCCTGCCTCCCCGCCCGTGCAGGTCAGCAAGTCGAGCGCCGGCGTGGCTTTCGTGCCCTCCCTGGACGCAGCGCCCCCCGCCCAGGTGGTGGAGGCTGACATCCCGGCCTGCGACGCCATCATCCACAAGATCGACCAGGCACGCCCTGCCTGGCCAGCCCTGGCCCTGCGCAGCACCCCTGCGTTTGTCGGTCTGCCCGCAGCAAGCGCCCGCCGTACACAGCACTGCCGGGCCTGCAGCTTTGCTGTCTGTCGTGTGCCCCCCCTGCGCCCACACCCGCTTGGCATGCATCACGCGGCGCTGCACTCACGCAGCCCTGCGCCGCCATGCCTGCCCTGCTGCCTCTTGCAGGTGCTGCTGCCCGCCAACGCCTTCCCCGAGGGCGTCCCTGTCGAGGCGGAGGCTGGGGCGGAGGCGGAGGCTGGGGCCGAGGCCGATGCTACTGCGGGCGCCTCCACTCTGGCCAAGGCTGCCGCCCAGGCTGCTGCCCTGCTGAAGAAGAAGGAGAAGGAGAAGCCCGTCCCGATTGAGGTGGAGGAGCCGACGGGTGCCAGCGCCAGCGCCAGCGCCCTCGCCAGCGCCACGGCGGGCTAGATGGCCTGTGCTCGTCTGCTCAGTATTGACTCCTCTTACGCTTGCGGAGTAAAGTAGGGCCCTTTCTATTGTGGAATGCACTCATGCAAGCACCCCCACCGAGCGTTGACTCACCGACGCATTGCCCCTTGCTGCACCCCCTCCCATTCTTCCCGATTCTTCATTCCCTCTGCATAGCGCACTAGCGAAACAGGCTTATGATAGGAACATGACAATGCCTTGCTTGATTGATGTTGCGTGTGAGACCTGCACAGATAGGTCTGTGAGAGCTCAAGGTGCAGCTGGCGCGCACGCCACCTGCCGCCGGCGCTGGCGGCGCTGGTGCTGGCGGTTGCATCGGACGATGTGCAGCCGGGACTTGCAGTAATGAATTTTGCAGTGGAGTGCAGAGGAGGGGCTGATGAATACTATACTGCTCGACACGTGGAAGGTACCGGCTCGGGGCGCGGCCGCATTTCAACCCTTCTGTAGCCGCATCTGCAGCTCGAGCTAGCTCGCCAATTACCCCCGCCTTCCTCTTGTCAGCAGCAAGGAGGGCAACAGCCCTCTCCTACTCTTACTCCCCGTCAAGGCAGCTTGCAGCCGGCTCCGCTGTCGCCCTGAGGCTGAAGAGTCTTTCCAGTAGCTCGCAGGAGCGCTGTACACGCGTCTGACAGCCAGCAAGGTGCCGAAAAAATCTGTCGCCGGCAGCTTCGCCCTCCGGGAACGCAATGGGTTTCAAAGGACCCATCGGCTACACAGTAGAGGTGGGGAGGAGGGATCGCGAGAGGTGCAGCGCCTTCCCGCCAGGTGCCTTGCACCCACCTCTCGCAGAAATTCCCTCCCGCGCCCCTGGTGCTCTGTTCTCCAGTTCATCAAGAACCAGATAGACAAAAGCAAGGCGGGAGATGCAGCTCCGGCCGAAGGGGGCCCTGCCCCAGCCCCCAAAGGTGGGGCTGCTCCAGCACCGCCAGGCCGGTTAAGCGGGCACAGGGCGTTGCCAGCGGGTTTCGCCGCATTACATCGCTCTGACGCTGTCTGTATTCCTGCAGGGGATGCCGTCAGCCTTGAGCCCGCAGCGCCCCAGCGGAAGGAGCCTCCCGCCCAGCCTGCCGCCCCTGCTGCCACCGCTGCCAGGTGCGCTGCGCACAAGCGCGGAGCCGACTAGGTGCTGCCACTGGCTGCCGCTGCTGCCCGCCTCACCAGCAGGAGCCGTGCGCCTCGCTTCTGCAACATGCGTGCAGCCCCAAGCAGCCGGCGGAGGAGGGCGGCTTCAAGGGCCCCATCGGCTACACGGTAGAGGTGCGCCAGCTGCGCGTGCCGCCCCGCCTACCCCCGCCAGCTGTGCGTGCCGCCGTGCCTACCCCCGCCAGCTGCGCGTGCCGCCGTGCCTACCCCCGCCAGCTGCGCGTGCCGCCCCGCCTACCCCAGACTCATGCTGATCCCAGCCTGACCCCTGCCTGCCTGCCTGCCTTCCTGCCTGCCTGCAGTTCATCAAGAATCAGATGGACAAGGGCAAGGCTCCGGCGGATGGCAGCTCGGCAGAGGGCAAAGGTGGGATGCCGCTGCCCGGACTGCGCGCTGCACAGCCACAACACCAGGCGGGCTGCATGCTGATGAGCATGCTGGTGCTTGCCACCCCGCAGACGGCTTTGATAATGTGCCGCTGGACGAAGAGGCGATCGGCAAGGCCGGCAGCCCCGAGCAGTCGGGTGTGCCGCGCGACGCGGCCAACGCCCGCTCCAAGCGGCTCGCCACCAGGGCCATCATGATCATGGGCTTCGCCCTGGCTGTGGGTGGGTGCGCCGCCGCCGGTTGCTGCCGCCGCTGCGTGTAGACGGAAGACGAGAACAAGGAATCCAACTTCACACATGACGCCCCACCACCTCCTCCACACCCCTGCAGACTTCACCATGAGCCTCATGTCCATCCAGCCCCTCTACTACGTGCTCGACGGCCCCGAGCACGTGTATGGCCTCACCTTTGGCTCCTACGACCTCACAGCCATGCTCTTTGCGCCCTTGTTTGGCTACTGGACTGACCTGACGGGCACATTCAAGAAGCAGGTGGGGTGGGCGCCCGCCCTCCCTGCCACCCTGCCCATCTCCCATGCCGCCCTGCTCCCCCGATGGGCGTGCTGACTGTCCGCACCACAGGCGTGCCCGGTTGGCATGGCCACGGGAATGGACTCTTGCTGATGCTGGCATGCCGGCCGCCGCCGCAGATTGTCGTGGGGGCGGTTGTGAATGCCATCGGCAACCTGCTGTACGGCTTTGTGTACCTGGCCGATGCCTGGTGGCTCATGCTGGTGGCAAGGTGAGGAGTCCCAACTGAGCGGCCGGCGCACTGGCGGCTGGTGCCATGGCCGCCCTGCTGCGCTACCAACCGGCCTGTCTCTCACTTGTGCTTGCCTGCAGAGCCATTGCGGGCGTGGGCGCCGCCACCCTGGGAATCGGCAGCAGCTACGTCACGCAGACCACCACCTCTGCCAGGCGCCAGGTAGGCGCCCTGGTCCTTTGGCGCCCTGGTCCTCTCCTGCAGATGCCTGGTTGCTTGGACGGCTGGCTGGGCGGCTGGCACCACGCATCCCAACCCTCACCGCCACCAAAACCATGGTGAACTGCACATCGGTACTGCAGATTGTGCTGGGGTGGTACAGGATATCTCAGAATGTGGCCCGCATGGTCGGCCCCTTTGTCGGCTACCTCTTCCTAGGCCTGCCCAATGTCAGTGAGCCGCACACCCCAAAACCAGCCGGCAAATCAGAGCCTGGCCTGGCCGTGGCAGCGGTGCTTGCTGCGCTGCTGGTGGCGTTGCTGCACCCGCCGCCGATTGCATGCCGTGCTGTGCCTGGGACCTGATGCCGCGGCTGGCTGGCTGGCGCAGGTCAACCACGGCTCCTCTACTGGCTTGAAGCTGTTCAACTGGTGCGCCGCCTGGCCGTGTGTGCTGCACAAGGCCGTGCATCCCTGCTGCCTGCCTTGGCTGCCTGCTGAAGGCCTCCCTGTCTGCCCCGCCGGCAGGTACACAATCCCCGGCTGGGCCGCTTTTGCCCTGGTGTCCGTGGTGCTGGGCCTGTTTGTGTGGTGGTTCCGGGACCCCACTGACGAAAACGAGCACCGCGTGCATGTGAGTGCTGCATGCCCAGGAAACCGCCCGCGAGGGTGCAGTGCGTGTGTGAACATGCATGCCCCCTTGTACCCTGTACCCTGCACAGCCCGATGACCCCATGACCCAGGGCCCGCCCAGCCCCGAGCGCATCGCCCGCTTCCGCGCCTTCACCCTGGGCTGGCTCCTCCTCAGCTTCCTCACCATCTTCTCGTGTGCGCAGCTGCGTGGATGGCGACAGAGCAGGCAGAGGCGGCTCGACCTTGTCCCCGGCGTGGTCTGAAATTCGCTGCCTCTTCCCCCGCCCCCCGCAGTTTCCGGGTTCACCGCCAACCTCTTTGCGCTGTTTGCCGGGCAGTATCACCAAGTTACAAACCAGGGGGAGAATTGGAGGGTAGGCGGGCACCCTGCCCCGGCATCGCCCATGCTGTCGTGACGCATGTGGCATCCCCGCCGCCGGCGCGGAGCAGCCACGCCGCCCGCCTCCGCCCTGTGCCTGCAGACCTACATCGGGATTGGCGCTGGTGCCGCGACTTCTGCCTGGACCTTCCGCGTGATGATCAAGTGGATCCCGCATGTGAGCAGCAGCAGCAGGCAGGGGGCGCAACAGGACACCTGGCTGCCCGTGCGCTGCTCTCGCGGGTGCCCGCTGTGCTCCTCCACTCTTGGTGTGCCTGCTCCCTTGCTGCAGTGGTGGGAGGAGCGCAAGCTGTGCCTGCTGAGCAACCTGCTGCTGCTGGTCACCTGGTGAGTCGTTGCCGGCTGGCTGGCGTTCACAGCAGGCGCCTGCTGGCAGTGCCGCCTTGCACCCTGGTGCCCGCGGGCGCTGCGCCATCTTTGCTGGCCGAACCATCGCAGCCACCTGCCTCACCCAAGCCGCCACCCCTCCCCCACTCCCCCCCAGGCTGTTGGTCATCCCCTATGGCGGCTCCACCTCCATCCCCTCTGATGTGCTCTTCTACGCCTCAACCGCCATCGCCGGCTTCACAGGCAAGCACGCGCGCGCGCCGCCGCCCGCCACCTGCTGTGCCGGCGGCATCGCACCGCAGCCCTGCTGCCACGCCATGCCTCGCATCAGCATACGGCCCACTCGGCAGCAGGATGATGGCCAACTGTGCGCTGCTCAGCACGCCCGCCGTCGTGCTGCACCAAGCTGCCTGGCCCCACAAGCGCCCCGCCTGTGGCCGCCTGCAGTTGTGATCAACCAGGCCTCGCTGGAGACAGTGTACTCCAAGAAGGTGACTCAGTATGCTGACGTGGTGGGCGGCAAGATTGGGCGGTACATGGGAGCGTACTTCATGGCCAGCTCAGGTGCGGCACGCTGTACCGGCGCAGCACCTGCCTGCCGGCGGCAGGAGGAAAGGCCACGCCGCCGGCCGCCGGCAGCTGGCGCCAGCTGTCGGCCCTGCTGCGCGTGGCTCCCCTGCGCGGTGCAGCACTCCTCCCGGTGCCATCCTGCCGCATGCCGTGTGCCCCCCTCGCCGCAGCCGGGCGCTTTGCGGGCCCCCTCGTGGTTGCGGGCGTGACGCGCATGGCCACTCCCTCTGGCGAGACCAACTACTGCACCGATTGGGTGACCGAGCCTGACGGCAGCTTCTCGTGCAACGGGCCCCCAGACCAGCAGTGCGTCATCACGGGTGAGCCAGGGGGGGGGCTTGCGGCGGCAGTGGCGGCGGCGGGCGAGGCTGGCAGCGGCACACGGTGCACCTCGCACCGCACCCCATCCCGCCCCGCACGATCGACCACGCCCGCCCCCTTGCCCGCCGGTACCGCCTGCAGGCGACCAGTACTACATCTTCGGCTGCGTGCTGTACAACGTCATCCCCATGTATGCAGTCATGGCAGGTGCGCAGACCAGGGAGGGGCAGGGGAAAGTGGAGGGGGCACCCCCGGCCCGCTCCTCCCCTGCGCCATGCAGCCCGCATGCCGGCCGGCCTGCGGAGTGAAGCCGACGCCGCCTGTGCCCAGCCTGCGGCGCACCCCCTCCCCTGCTGCAGCGCTGCAAGCGGCCATCGGTGTGGGACTGGTGGTGCTGCTGTGGAAGAACTGGAGCTACGAGAACGAGGGTCCGGCGGCGGCGGCGGCAGATGCCAAGGAAGCCGAGCCGAGCGCCACCACGCCCGCGTCCTGATGCCGTCGGGTGTCCACCCATTGCTGCTACAAGGGGCACAGCCGCAGGCCATCGTAGACCGTGGGGTGATGGCGCTGTGGCATGCACCGCTGACTTTTCTTTCCGTTGACAAACTGTTCACACGCTGAGCATCCCGGCGCCGCACCGACTTTCCCTTTTGACGCGGGCGGCGACCCGGCGGCTGCATCCCCAGATGCTGTGCTGTGTCGCCTCTTGTTCCCTTGCCTGTCCACCCATGTGCCTGCTGTCCACCCATGTGCCTGCCTAGCCGGAACGCGCCGCAGGGCGGTGCACCTTGTGGGGGCGTGGGGCGCATGGTGCAACCCCAGGCAGGACCGAGGCAGTCCTGTGCCTGTGCTGGCGTTTGTGTTGGGCTGCCCTGCTCATGCACCGCGCTGCGCAGCTACCTTCTCTGCCTGATTGTAACGCAATTCAAGCAGTGTTCCCAGCAGTTCACAATCACAGCTGTGAGATGCAAGCATTGGGCCAGTGACACCCACAGGACAGGAAGGAGCGTGGCGGATCCGTTTGAATATCATCCGCCAGAGAGCGCTGGTGCTGCACTTTACTGTACTGCACACGGGCGGGGCCACCCCACCCTAAGCTGGTTGTGCCAGGGGGGCCCAGCCGCTACAGGAACTCCTCCCCAGAGGCGGGCAGCTGGCCCAGCACCTGCGGCAGCGGGCGGGGACGGCGCGGCTGGGGGCAGGGGCCTCGGGACGGGCCACCCAAGCGCAGGCGCGACGCAGCCGCCCCTTGCCGTGGCCTCCCCCGTGCTCCCCTGCCTGCTGCCTCTCCTGCACTCCCCCTGCCTGCTGCCCCCCCCCTCCCACCTCTGGGTTGTCCACCTCCTCCAGCGGCACCAGCAGGCCCTGCCCCTCCGCATACGCCACATCCTCGCGGGAGGCCACGTGGCGCTGCGTGATGCGCGCCCCGCTCATCCGCTGCGCAGCCGCCGACCGCTCGTACCTGCGCGGGCACGGCACGCGTGTACGCAGCGGGGGGTACCGTGTTTCTGCGGGAGTGGCACCACACCGCCGCACCGCAACGCTGCCCACCACTCGGCGCCGCTCGCCTGCCACCCTGCCCCGCCCCGCCCTGCCCCGCTCGCCCTGAAGAGCCCGCACTGCCCTGCCCCATTCCACACCTCCCCCACCCTCCCCCCACCTGATATTCCTGAACGTCTCCACCGCCGCCGTCACGCCCAGCCGCGTGCGCCCGGTGGCAAAGTCCACCGCCGCCGCCGCCGCCGCCACCTCGCCCTCGTGCGCAGCAGAGGCGCCGCCGCCGCTGCCCTCCCGCTGCGAATGAAAGGGCATTGACAATACTGACAATCGTCTCACGCAGTGGGTTCTGCTGGTTCCTTCATGCAGGGCGAGGGGCGGAAATTAAACAAGAAAACGAAAGGATCCGAGAGGGGCAAATAAGAGACTTCTGGCCATATGTTGTGTTGCGTCTGTGGGGCGTGGCCGCCACGCAGGGCGGCATCCGCGCATGGCAGGTGCCGCCACCACAAAAGCTGCGGCCCGTGACAAAACATGGTGAGAGACATGGGTGCTATGGTACATCGCAGGCGGGCAAGTGCTGCAGCCGCGGTCGGCCTGCGGGGCTGCACAAAACTTGGGCAGCGGGCCTCTGAGCAGCCTCAGGCCACACAGGCCCTGGGGCCGCAGCCCACTGCTGTGCGACGTTGGTCTGGCGGGATGGCATGCTGAACATTCATTGATGCGCTCGCGCTGGCGGGGTGGCCTGCGCAGGCGGTACGGGTGCGGTACAAGGCGGTACGTGCTTGCCGCCTCAGTACAGCCGCTCCAGCACCAGGTCCACCATGAGCTCCAGGCTGCGCTTGGCGGGCGTGTCGGGCAGGCAGGCCAGCGAGGCGAGCGCCAGGTCGCCCTGCTCCCGCGCCAGGGTGCGAGCCCTGCACAAACACACGCAATCAGGCAACCCAGGCAGCGGAGAGGGGGTCAGGCGCGTGGGGCGGGCAGGCAGGCAGGTGCGCCAGCAGGCGCAGCGCTTGTGCACGCGCTCCTCCGACATGCGCCCCTGCGTGCCCATGCCAGGGCCCCCGCCCCAACCCTCCGCAGACCCCGCCCTCACTTGTCGATGCCGCCGCCCAGGCTGACCAGCTCCAGCGCGCGCTGCAGGCTGCCCTCCTCCTTGAACCGCCCCTGGATCAGCTGCAGCAGGCCGTCGCCCACCATCTCGTCCTGCACGCGGCGCAGCAGGGGGGGCCAGGGGCAGCGGCCGGCGAGGTGGGCCGGCAAGGCCACGCGGCGCGGGGGAGGCAGCCGGGGTGGCAGGGAGCACGACCTATTGGGAGGGCGCGCTCCCTCCAA